CAAAGATAAACTAATCATTATCTCCTATGAAATCAGGCAGTAACTCACAGTAAAATCTCGATGACTGATGCACTTGCTGCAAATGAATTTCTTGAAAATTATATTTTGAAGACAGAAATCTTGAATTGTTTTTTACTGAAGCTAATGAAAAATTTTTCTTCCTTTGGAAACTTGCTCAGGCTTTTTCCCACTTCCTGGATCCCAGCTCTTGCATAAAGAGCTCTATGTATAAAGAGACAGCAAATAATGTTCCTAAAATAAAATTCAGCTACAGTTTCTAAGCTCTCTATTCTTTATTCAACATTGGTCAAACATAGATCTCTGTTTTCCCTGTATTTCATGACAATTTCCCTGTCAAGTTAGGCATGTTGGTGTCCTCTCTACACATACACATGTTGACTTCACTCCTAGACTCAAGTGCAGTCAGCTGTCAATCTTTTTAATCTAGCTGCTCAGATGGTGAAAATTTCCACACTGTTTTTTCTCCTCCATTTTCCAAAATAACCTCTCTTTGATTCCCAGCCTTGACTCCCCTGAAGGTGTTATAGCAGGTGAAATGTCTATTTCTTAACAAACCTGGCATTGCCCCCTCCAAGTTGCTTTCTGCCTGGATTGACTTCATGACCTGATCTTCCCCACTTCCGACCACACCTCCCACACCAACTCATACTGGCCACCCTCACAGTGAATCTGAGAAATAAATGACTGGGTCTGTATATTAGCAAAATGACACCCAAGGACTGTATGCTTTTGAAAACATGTTGAAATCATTTGTCTTCCTGCCTTGACACTCTCTAAGCTGCAAGTGGTTCCAATTTTCAACTCGTGGCAGAAACTATAAGCCAAGGAAGTAAATAAGTATCTCCATAAACTGTAGAAAAGAAACACCCTCCTGCTACCTAATTGTGAAAAGCCCAACTTGGGACTGCCATAAACCTGTGAATTTCTTACATTCTTAGAAACTCAGATGGAAAGGATTCAGTGTTTCTAAGTTGGCTACTGAAGACTGGGATAGCATTTTGGATTATTTTTAGGGGTGGCACTATTAGGATCCAATTTCTTCAATATATCAAGTTGCATTGGCTTCCAGACCCCTTCCTACTATGTTTCCAAGGCACAGGTCAATTGATTTCTAGGGATTTGATTCAGGTTATTTGTTCTACCTCTTTGGTTTCCCATCATTATCAAGATGACTCCAAGGAAGGACCGCAGCTATCAGTTCTATCACTCTAGGAACCTGAGCATTAGTTGATGGCAACAAAATGTCTCAACACAGTCCAAATTGATATGGACATATGGGGAATACATTTCTGGAAGTAGGAGCATGAACTATACAGTCCTCTTTCAAATGCTGCTCCAGTGGCAGAGTTTTCTTCAAATTTTGTGACTTCTCTGAAGTTATAAAATGCCTTTACCCACCATTTATTTAAACTATTCATTAATTCTCTCCACTGTGGAACAGTGAGGATACTGGACCATGGAATCCTACTCCATTCCCTCATTACTTGTTGATGTTCCACCTGTTTCATCACCTGTTTCCTCAAAGGAGCCTCCAGACCCTATAAAACTCCCCTCTTTACATTCAGTACCGTATTTTTCCTTTATTTCTCTGTGGCAGGCACAGCACCATCACTCAGACAATTTTATTAGCCATTATGGGTCAAAAGTGTCTCTCAGGGCACAAACTAAATGACAGGAAAACAGGTTATAGAGGAGTAAATAACAACCACAGAACTCACTCAGCTGAAGTGGCTGCTTCACCACTGTCACCTTGTCTGAGCTACTGTCATCTGTCACTTCGATAACTGCAATAGGCTACTAACTGATCTTCCTGCATCTGTCCTTGGCCTACCTGTTACCCTCCTGGGGCAGACAGAGTGATTTTTAACATGTTAACCAGATCACTTCTTGTCTCAAAATTCTCCAGTAGGTTTGCTTTCACAAGCACTAAAAACTTTTGCTTCAGATTATTCAGGTTTTTGCCCAAATTTTACCTTAATGATGGAACCTTTTCCAAGTACCCCACATAAGAAGCAACTTCTCCACTCCTCCCTGCACCAGACTCCTAACCATCCCATCCTATCTTCTCTCCTCCATAGGACTTATCACCACATCACATATTATATATTTACTTATATAATATGTGGCAGGTTGCATTTTCTAGGATGTAGATGGATTTCCAGTTCCACATGCTTTTCTTATAAGGTGACATGTCTACTACTTCCTTTGAAAAGCATTTTTGCTGGGGGGGGTGGTCTACATTCCCTATCCCCTTGAATCAAAGTGACCTATAACTGTGGTAGAAATGATGCTATGTAATCTGTGAGGCTAGGTCACAAAGCCATAAATTCCTGCCTTGGGGTGCTCAATCTTGGAAGTCAACCACTATGATATGAGGAAGTACTGGCTACATGGAGAGGCTACTGGTAAGTGTTCATATGTGGTCCAACCCAACAGTGAATATCAACTTCCAGACATGAAAGGAAGCTTTGAGATGACTTCAGAACCAGCCATTACATAAGAGACAAGTGAGAACCATTTAGCTTAGCTTAGCTTAGTTACCTCCCAGAATCATGAAAGATAGTAAAATTATCTGGCTGGGCATAGTTGTACACTGCTATAGTACCAGCACTTGTGAGGCTGAGGCAGGAGGATTGAGAGTTCATGGCCGGCCTGGGCTACATAACTAGACCCTATCTCAAAAAAAAAGAAAAACATGCTGGACACCAGTGGTTCATACCTGTAATCCTAGCTACTTGGGAGGCTGAGCTATGGTGGATCAAGGGTTGAGGTCAGCCTGAGCAAACAGTTTGTGAGACCCCCTACCCCCATTTCCAAAATAGCCAGAGCATATTGGACTGGGATGCGTGGCTCAAGTAGTAGAGTGCCTGTTTTGCAAGCACAAAGCTCTGAGTTCAAACTTCAGTCTCCCCAAAAAAAGGGTTTGTGTGGGCTCAGTGGTACACTGCTGTAATCCCAGATACTTGGGAGGCAGAGATAGGAGGATCACAGATTGAGACCAGCCAAGGCAAGGTTACTGGGAGACTCTATCTCAAAAATGAACTAAAAGGAAGAGGACTCAGAGTAGTAGTATATTTGCCTAGCAAGTAGGAGGCCCTGAATTCACTCCTCAGTACTGCAAAAAAAAAAAAAAAAAAGTTTTATGCTGTTAGGTTTGGGGACTATTGTTACTTAACAATAAATAACGGAGTAACTTATTTATGTGTGTATTTTATGTCTCTTCCCACTACAGTATAAGTTTCAGGGGTTCAGAGATTTTGTTTTCTTTGTTACTATATTTCCACCATCCAGAACAGTGCCGGGCACATGACAAATAATCATTGAACATTTGAACATTGTTGAATGATTTAATGGATGCATGATGCATTTCCAGTATGGTGTGCTAATGGTTTTTGGTCAACAGAACATGACATAGTCTGCTCAATTAGACCTCATTGGCTAAGAACATAAATTGGCACATAGAGCATGGGAAAATATGCTGGAATATTCAGAGGCAAATAGCATATATAACATGAAGAATGTATATATAGCAAATTGTAATTTATTACAATAAATTGCACAAAATAGAATTAGAGTTGCATGTAAAATTTGTTTTTGGGTATTAATTCCATAATTCCACAATGGTCTTTTCCAGATCTGACTTAGAAAGGCTTCATAAGTATTTTTGGAAAGATAAATGATTCTTCCAATTCAAACTATGAAGATATTTCTAAGAATGACTAATTGGAATCACTGACATATTTATGGAATGAAAATGGGTGGTGACAGTGTGTGTATGCGTGAGTATGCATGTGAACACACACATGTGTGAACAGTTTGAAATGCATATTTTCATAGACTGGTAATTTGAATGGAGAATGTATACAAGGGAATAAATATGGCTCTGGATCTCCCCACTCTTGAACCAAATATCTCAATTTAGAATTTAGTTTGGAGCAAATATCTGTCCAAGGAAAATATTAAAATTTTTATCATCTAAAGAGGCAAAAAAGGACATAACTTCTTGCTACCTGAAGAAGAGGTTAATTTTTGATTGGGGGTAAATAATTTGTGGGTGGTCTTGAATGGACTAAAGAATTTATTTGGGTCAATCCATCTTGGCCTTCACTGACCCAAAGAGCACAGGGATGTGGAGTCAATGGTTTCTTGGATTGGGGATGTTGGCTGCCCTATTCACAATGGTTTCAAATCATTTCCCATCACAAGAGTCACCTTGAAAAGCAATGGTGTGTGATATTCTTTCCAGAGTCCAGAAGGGTTTGAGGGTAAAAATGGCTTAAAAAGTTCTTCACTTAAGGCCACTGCCATAAGGCTACTTGGAGAAGTGTCTATTGAGGAAAACTGAGTTTTATTTTTGTTCTCTTTCTTGCATTGACAAGTGTTGGAGCACTGGGCTTCACCATCTTAGCTATGGCATGAACTTTCCCTCTAGATTGGGTTTGAGCCTTGAGTGGAAAGTGGGGAAGACTCCCAAAATTCCCTTGGAAAGTCTAATCAAAGTAAATTGGGAAATATTTTCTTTGGAAGTCCCATTTTCCACAGATCTGGCATCTAAAGCTAATTATTCTTTTTCCATTAAAAAATGTTTTTATTTATTTATTTATTTGCAGGCCCAGACAAACTTGACTAGAAAAGAAGCCCGGGCAGGAGTTAGTATGAGCCCATGACGTGTACCACACTTCAACCAATTGAAAGGCTATGAAAGGGGGAGGGCGGAAGTGACGAGAAGTATCCCTCCGCGGGGCGAGAGGGCCGGTGGGGGGAGTCGGCGTCTCTCTCCCCCGCGCCAGCTCCCGTACACGGAGCCGCATTCCTTGGCCCCCCCACCCCCTCCCTCGGGGCCCCCCCGCCCCCCTCGGGAAAAAAATCCACCCCAAATCACTCGAACCCAAGGGAGGCTTCCTTTCACCCTCGGGGAGACGAGCTTTCAACGGTTCCCTCTTCTTCATCTCCCCCCCAAGCCCCCGTCCCCTCCCTGCTCCCACCCCCTTCTCCCAGCGCCGAGTGCAAGGTCCCTTTAAGGCGACGGCGCCTTCCTCGGGTCAGACTACCGGCGGCGACGACCACGGGAGGTGAGTGAGTGAGCGAGCCTTCGCTCTCCCCACCCCCTTCTCCCGGGGGTTCCGTTATCTTTTCGCTCGGCGAGGCGTTCCAAAGCGAGACAATGAGAGGGGGATGGGGCCGGCGCGGGTGGGGGCGGGGGGCTGGGACGCGCACCCCCGCCCACCGCTACTGGCGGCGCGGCCCACGGCAGCGGCAGCCGTGGGGTGCGGCGCGCTCGTGCTCGCGTGTGTGTGTGTTTTGCGTGCCAACCCGGGCCACGGGAGTCGCGCGGCGGGCCGGCGGCGGAGGGCCCTGCCAGCCGGCTGGCCAGCCACCCCCGCCCCCCGGCGCCCGCCGCGGCGCGCGCGCGCGCACTCGCGTCCCACGGCCCCGCACACACCCGACGTCCACACGCACGCCCGGTGCGAGGCGTCTCGGAGGAGTGGGCGGCGCGGGCGCGGGCGCGGGCGGCGGCCCGCTGGGGAAGGGGCGGGGGCGCGGGCGGCGGCGAGACGCCGCGGCGCGGCGGGAGGGGCCGACGAGGGGCGAGGCCGCGCGGGGAGGAGGGCGGGCGGCGGAGAGGCGCGGCGGCGTCCCCGGGTGGGAGTTCCCGCCGCCCCGCCCCCGCTCCGTTAGGTGCGGGCGCTTGTTTTGAGCGGGAGGACGAAAAGGCGTGATTGCCTAGCCAGTCCCTTGTGTTATGTAATCCCTGCTCGCTCGCTCTCTTCGTACATCCCGAGCCTCAGTGCCCTGCAGCTAGTTTGCAAAGTCTCCTCCCTTGGCCCCCAAATTTATTCAGGGATGGCGCTGTGATTTATAAAACGGGACGGAGCAGAGAATCTTTTTTCTGGTGATTATGTCCTGCCGCTGTGGGCGCCATGTTTATCCCAAGGACTATTTTCTCTCGATTTCTAATACCTACCGAAAAGGAGTAATGTCATCGAACCACCTGCTTTCCACTCCTTTCTGCGCGTTGTCCTCGCCGGTTGTGGAGTTCCCTCAAACTGTTAAATAACACTGCGCACTTCTCGGCTCACTTATTTTAGACCACCTTCGCTCAGAGAAAGGTAGAGCTCAAAGCCTTGTAAGTCGTATGGCCCAGTCGTTCTCCAGGAAGAAATTGTGAGATGTTTGTACTATGAGAACAGTGCTGAGGGTAGCCCGTCTCATCACTCTTAGACACTCCCACTGTAGCACAAAAATGGGGTTTTGCTTTTAAAGGCATTTTCTCAAGGAGCTGAAGGGGAACCGGAGAAGGGTTTTGCTTGGTGGGACAACAATGACTGTAGAGACCTAGTTGTTGTGGGACTCTGAATTAGAAGTACTTATTTATCATAACTTCAGAGTTCCACCTTTGGTGGTGGTTAAACCTGCAGTTTGGGGGCTTCGTCCCCGAAATTTTTCAGGGTGTGGTGGAGAGGGAAGGGGGGAATGTCATCTCTATATTTTTAATGGGCAGTCCCCTCCAGCTGACTGATTTAGTTAACACCAAATTGAGAATTATTGGTCTCAGATAAAGGCACCGAAAATATGTTAAAACAGTCTGTGCCCTTGATTCCGTCCCCTTTCTTATGTTGGTGATGTATCTCAAACTGAAAGAACTAACTGGGATTTTAGGATGAACAGGATTTTGGTAAGAGTTTCCACTCCTATCTTAAACTAGTGCTATAATGTAGGAAAGCAAAAGTATGGTCAGTTGGCCCCTTGGCGATCCCCCCTGAGACCCTTTCAGGGGAGGCTTGAGGTCATAACCATTTTCAAAATAACAACTAAGGTACCATTTTTTTCACTGACATCTTCACTGTTCCAAAACTAATGCTGGGTAAGACTACTAGTGGTGCCTTAGTACAAAGCAAGGCAGTGGCAGCAGACTCTACTGTGCTTACTTGAAAATGTCCTTGATGAAGCAGTAAAAACTTAATATTATTAATCTCAACTTTTGAGTATATGTTTAATTTTTAGAAATCTGCAATGAAATGAGAAGTATGCATAAAGTATGCTTTCGATGGAGGTGTGATTGTTGTCATGAGAGAAAGCATTTGTGAAATTGAGTTGTAAGCTGCTTGCTTCATAGGATGACTTTTTATTTGAAAGGACGACTGGTTTTTCACACTTGAGTATTTGCTGGTATTTTCTTGAAAATGAAGTGAGTTTGTCACTTCTAGGCAAGTGATAAAATTTAAGTGAAAATTAAGATTTTTAAAAAGTTGACAGTTTGAATTTAATAGCTTCTCAATACTTAAGACTTTTTGCATACTACCAGTAGTTAATAACTAAGTTTTTAAAAAATAATTTAAAATGTCATTTGGAAGATGGGCATAACTCAGCAAATCATATTTTCCAAATGACCGATCATGTTGTTGCAAAATAATGCAAGGGTAAAAGATCCTTTCAAAATACAAGTTACAACAATGGATTTTCACTTAATATAAAAAATTAATTGGTATGGTTTCAGATTCCAAGATGCAAAACTGTTCTTTAAAAAAAAAAAATCTACGTTTGTTGAGTGGTAGGGTTTGGATTTTTTTTTTTTTTTTGGTGGTAATGGGGTTTGACTCTGGGTCTCACGCTTGCTAGGCATGGGCTTTGCCACTTGAACCACTCTCCAAGCCTTTTGTTGTGTCTTGGGAACTGTTTGCCCAAACTGGCCTCAAATCACAGTCCTCCTGATCTCTGCCTCCCAAGTAGCTAGGATTATAAGCTTGAGTCACTGGCACCCAGCTTTTTAAAAAAAATTTTTTTTTGGTGTGGTGATTTTTTTTCATGTGTTATTTATGTTAATATGAAAAAGCTACAGCCCATATAAATAAAAAAATCTTTGGGATCATCAGTAACTTTTTATGTTTTGTTTTTGGCTGTGCTGGGGCTTGAACTCAGGCCTCAAGTTTGCTAGACAGGTGCTCTACCATGAGCCACTCCACCAGCCCGATCAGTAATTTTAAGAGACAAAAAAAATTTGAGAGTTTAAGAGACCAAAAAATTGGAGAACCATTGGATCTGCCCTAATAAGCTCTTCACATCATCCAAATCTTCCAGTTAGGGTCTTCTGGAGAATTTATAAACGTTAGTTAGAGTTGATAATGGAAGAGCAATGACTTGGAGGGTTTGGGACAAGTTCTAGGAAAACTCTTGTTTTTAATCCTGACTGGGATATTTACTAACTGCAGCCTCAGGGAAGTTATGTGGTCTCCCTAAACCTGTTTTGACTTCATCTGTAAAAATAATATTACAAATAGATAATTGTGAAAATTCATTGACAATGAATGTAACATGCATAACTGCCTAGCATATCACAGTAAAATAAAACATTTCCAGGTAATATTTCAGGATTCTCCAGTTTATGTCCTCTTAATTAATTTTTGTTGAAGGTGGAATTTCTGATTTAAATGACAAACTCTCGAGCTGGTTGGTACTTTTGTCATAGTTATTAATAGGCTAAGACTTTGATTCGTTGGTATTCTGGTTTGTGGTATTGAGCCCTATCTATAAAACTATTATTTTTACATGTAACTGATGGGGGAGAGCAGAAGAGAAAGACACACACACACAACACACACAAACCTATTGGTAGTATTTAGCAGAGTTAAATGAAATCAAGGGAATAGAAATGGAATTTAGATAACATACAGCCATGAGTGATGAAGAGCTTTCTATGGAAGATGGGAAAGAGGTTCCTAAATATTGAACCCTTTTAAAATAGAGAGCTTTGCCGGCAAAGTGGCTCAAGCAATAAGATTGCCTGCCTAGCAAGAGTAAGGCCCTGTGTTCAAACCCTGGTGCTGCCAAAAAAAAAAAAAAAAAAATAGAGAGCTTACTGCTTACTTTAGTTTTTTTAAGTAAAGATCATATAACTAATACTTCAGTGCTTCTTGATTTGGGATTTATTGCCAGTCAAGTGGAACACATTTTGAGTTTGAGACTATGAATTGTTAAAACTATTTAAAAAGCCATTATCTGATTATTACATATAAGGTACTGTAGTAGTTAGATGCTGTGAAGGACAAAATGGGCCGTATAAAAGATGGGGTAAAAACTGCCTGTTACATACTCAGCTGTAACTGGTTTTATAGACAGATTATTTAGCTCTAAGTTTTCTGAAAATACTCCTTACTTACATTTACAGTACTGGGGTTTGAACCCAGGGCCTCGTTCTTGCTGGGTAGTTGCTTTACCACTTGAGCCACATCCTTGGCCCTAAAAATAACCCTTTTTTTTTTTTTTTTTTTTTTTTGGTGGTGGTAGAGTTTGAACTCAGGCCAACACTTTGAACCACTCTGCCAGTCCTTTTTTTTGTGTTGGGTTTTTTTCGAGATAGGATCTTTCAAACTATTTTCCTAGGCTGGCTTTGAACTGCAATCCTCCTGATCTCTGTCTCTTGAGTAGCTAGGATTACAGGCATGAACCACCAGTGCCTGGGTGAAAATAGTCCTTTTTAAAGCCACAAATTTGGGCAACTTGAAAATGTAAATGCCAGTTGTTTTAAAGATTATCATTGTTTATTTTTCAACCTAGGAATGAGAACGGTGCTAGGATTTTGCATGAACCTATACTCTCTGCTACTTCAGTTGCTTGAGCCTTGGAAAGGCTAGCCTGGGCAACATATCAAGACCCCAACTCAACTTAAAAAAAAAAAAGATTAAAAGAAAACATTTTCCTGTTCTAAATGTCCCTTTTATCTTGATTTAAGGCCACATTTTTACTAGCAGTGAGTTAAAAATTATAGACTGAATCCTCCACTCCTGGAATTTCCATTACAGTGATGAAAGAACCAGCAAATTAAAGTAATTCAAAGCCTCAAGAACCAAGTATGTCAGGAGAGTTGTAGTAGTGTACAGATCATTTCCTAATTTTTTTTTTAAAGTGGTACTGGTTTGAACTCAAGGCTTCATGCTAACTAGGCTCATTTCCTAATTTTTTTAAAGATGGGTAAATATTTGTCCATTGAAAACCTGAATAATAGAAGTGTATTTGTGGGATTCTTTTTTTTTTTTCCTTGCAGTACTGGGATTTGAACTCAGTACCTGTACTT